TCATTACAATGCTAAGCAAAAGAAACATAATCCCACTCAAAATTTTAGATTAAATTAAAATGTAGATCAAGCGAGGGCGCAATTTTTATTTCATTTTATGTGAATTTAAATTTTTTTTATGTGATTTTATAATAATATTTAAATTTTCAGTTTTTAATGTTATTTTTGATTGTATTTTATTGCATTATATTTATAAATATTGAACTAGTTTTTTTTATTACTTTACAACTAACATAGTATCTAAGGTTTCTGTAAACTAACAAGTGGACCCAAGTTGTCTTAAATAAAGAACATATAAGTACAATAATAGGCTACTGAATGTACTGCACTAAAGCGTACATATTGTCAGGGTGTTATTATCAAATATTGTATCTTTCCATTGTTCATAACCCCACTGTAAAGTGACATTTAAAATTTAATTTTTGAGAAACTGAAAAAATAGGTCAAAGTGAAAATGTTTCTGGCATCGCTTTAGCGCCGATAGCCTCACATTCTAGAATTCAAGATTTTTCGTTTGTTATTGAGCGTGGTACATCTAGGAGAGCCTAGGGCGCTGGTCGAGAGCGAAACGCGACCCACCGGAGTGACGGGCGGCAGCTGCAGCTGCGCCGCGGCGACGGCCACGATGTTGCGCAGGAGCCGCAGCCAGTGCAGCGGCGTGACGGGCTGCGCGCCCGCCACGCCCAGCTTGTCGCCGATCACGCGCGACATGCGCGCCACGTCGCCCGCCGTGCACGCCGACTGCGAGATGGACACTATGACACGCGAAATTACAAACGTGTATAAATGCATATTATTCACAATGAAAAACCCCTAGTGGAAGAAAAACTTTATACTAATAGTAGATTGTACAACAAGTGCATAAAACGCGTCATTTTACCGGAGACGAATATATCCTGGTCGATACTTACGTTGAGGGTAAAATGGGTTTTATGAACGAGTTATACACTCTGCTTTTCACTTCGATTGCGAGGAAATTAAACAGCTACATTACAAATAAACGATTATTTAATTAAAATTGAATGTAAAATTACAACAATTAGACATATTTAATGCGATGGGTTTTTTTTATTTATGCACTAACGCATTAAATCCTATTTTATGCAGCCTACACCCAGCATAAATACGTACTTTAAGAGCATGAGAAGTGAAAAGGTTTATTATACAGCATCTGCGTACGTGGTTGATAAAAATCTGTGGTAGTAACCCGTTTAATTTCTTATAGGTCGTCTCGATCTATGATGTTAGAAATAAATATTGTAAATGATAAACGTATTCAAATAATTATTATTATAAATTTTTATTTGCCATAATAATAATACAACATGCCATAGTGTACAAGTAAGTAACTATTACAGATAATGTATATTTACAAAGAGCAACCCTTAAACTTTCTAGCTCATTCTTCTCAGGGGAATCTGCCTTACTAATGAGCTGTAGAGTTTAAACAATATGACGATTTCAAGTGTAATTTGCTTACGTATGAAATAAAGGTTATTTCAGTTGGAGTTTAGTTATGCTTTTAAATATGACATTAATAAAAATAATAATAACGCATACACTCATAGCCCCACAGTAGCCCTGTGTTGCAGGTGCCATAGACACACACACATAGACAACCACAAATTACACTCAAACTCACGAGAGAAATAAATGTATGCAATTTCAAATGAGCCCTTATTAAGTAGTAGCTGGTGCCCGCCACTTCGTCTGCGTAACTTCCAAAGTTTTATTTCTCCATACAAACTTTCATCCACTATTTCACACCTTTAGGATTTAATTTTGTGACAAAAAGTGTACTATGTCCTTCTCGACAACAATTATGCTATGCCGGTTACCTGACACCAGATTGCATCACATGTCGCCGACAAGTGCAATTCGTGTAAAGTAGATATTTCATTGTTATATTATATTGTATGTATGTTAGTCGTTAAGGTATATATTATAATGGTCATGGTGGCGTGAAATAAATTACTTATTAAATAATTAATTTTACACCTAAGCAAAAATAAAAACCTACCTAATTCCTCGACCGTGACGGTCCTAGGCTGGCGTGTGCGCTGAGCGTGCTGGTCAATTGCTATGTTCATGCAAGACACCGTGATGCAAGGGACGTGGCACGGACGCACCTTCATCTTTGTCAGGAACCTGTACAAAAGTTACAGAATAAAAATAAAGAAGATAAAATGAACGAATGAATGAAATGAGCATATGATACCTGCTAAGTTCACCGAGCTCCCAGGACGTGAAGTTCGGTGAACCTAGCAAGCCGATCGGAGTCCCACTTATCCCCTATTTGAGCTCTCTTGCACTCTACACAGGCAGGATGCCACCTTTTTTCGCATTAGTGCGCAATAATCCTCTACACTAGCATCGGCAAACATGCCCGACGCACTGCAGTAGCGAGGAAGCCCAAACAGATCCCTGAATACATTATTATACATGTTGTAATGGCGTTACCAAATGAACTGCACTCTGACTGTAAAATTGCAGTTCGAGAACAGTTGGAAGCAATTTGCATGCCGTTAGCACGACTGTATTAAATGCAATCAAAAAGCATGCTTACGCCGCAACTGCACACGAATTGCAATATAACAGTCAGGAAGTCATTTTAACACAATCGCCGCTACTGCAAATCGATTGCAAAATGGCAGTCATAAAGTAGTTTAGATGTAGGCAACACTACAGCACACTACTGCAAAATGATAGTCGGAAATAGTTTGGATACAGTAGAACCAAGTGCATCGCAACAGCACGCCTTCTGTCAGCAGTCAGTAGTGGGTGTGTGCCCTTATCTACTACACACTATATTTTAGTGTCCAAAGGTCAGTCTAATCTTCAAGGTATCAGATCTGGATTGTAAATGACTCCCCTCATTACCGAGTCTTTGTTAAAGTGTAGAAGATGAAGTACCTGTCAAATAAGCTGATGGCATCGATGAGAACATCGGCTGGCAGGTCATAGCAGACTTTAAGACAACGCAGCACGTGTGCAGCGCCGTCTCGCGCGCCTGTCGTAACTTCGCCACTCTGTAAACAATTTAAAAGACATTGAAATCAACGTATTTTCTAAAGAGTACCACACACCGAGCGCGCTTCAGCTAACACCTGATATTAGTTTGTCTTATTTCAATACAATACAATTCAATTCAATTTCGATTATTTCGTTTTATTTTTACAATAATCTAGCTTTTAATAGCACGGTTAGACATTATCAAGATATTTCTTTCCTGTGATAAAATAATTATAATTCTAAGGTCGGCGGACACATAACGATGTCTTACGTTCTCAAACTCGCATCTTACAAAGAGTGATTATTCAGATGGCAAAACTTTATTTATTTTAAATTTCTTATCAAGGGTCTTAATTTAGATGCATTTTACTTTAAGAATAGGTAGTGAATATGACGGAAATTTGATGAGAAATCTGCCTGCAAAATTTGTATATTATACAATCCATTTTTTGCATTTCAGTAATTTTATGCTTTAAGATAACGAGTTTGAGAAAGGCGACGATAAGTCAAATTCGTTTGTTACTTCATTTATTTGTAACTTAATTTCTAGTGGCGTCTTGTAAATTTATCGTTATCTACACATCTTCCAACTTCATAAACAAAATATAATTATATATATTAAAAAATTAAGTATGTCTTTGGCTTATGTGCTTTAGTCCACCGACCCTATAATTATATCTGATAATAACCTGATATATCACGATTTATAGTTTCGAGTCTTTAATTTTTGACAAAAAATTACAACCACTGAGAAATAAACACAACGATATTTTTTTTTTTTAGATTTACATTAAGGTATCAACCTTTGAATACATCTCTACATGGCACGACATTGCTAGCGGTAGCATTTTGTTGTTGAAATCAATTTTATTAATCAAGATAATTACAGAGTGCGCTGTGCGGGAACAATTATATCGCGCTGCACACGGGATAATATCAACACGATTTTTCAGACGATATTCGATAACAAGATGATTGAAAATGTGCTAAACGGCTCGTCTATTCATTTCAATTATCAATGAAGTTGTTTTTATTATATTGACTAATTTGGTAGGTAATTCTTTCATTCAACTTGCTATTGAATATCATCAGAAAAATGTTGTTGATATTATCCCGTGTACACATAACTGTTATGTAAACTGTCACTGCTCCCGCCCCGCGCAGCTACCTCAGGAACCATCAAGTATATAACCAGAAATAGAGACGAAATAAGGGCCATATATTCCTGGTAACGCATTAGCAATACAGCTCTTATAAATATCAATTCTCGTTTGCACTGAAATATAGACCGGCCAACTACTGACCTGTGCGTACGTCTTCGTATATTCTAAAAAATATTCTATGTTTATTGTAATAAAGATTATATTTATTGTAATAAAGATTATATCTCTAACAATGCCGTGCTGTTCTATTCGGTGGCGTGGGAAAAACAGCAAAACATCTAATTATAAAACAAACGGAATCACATTTCATCGGTAATTAAATATGTAATTTTGCAGTTTTCGTCCATTATAGCAAAGCTCAAGTTAACTGGTCGATTTGAAGTGAAACAGTTGACGACACCCATTGACAACACACGTAAATTGTTTCGAACGAAGCCAATGGAGCGCAGTGTCACAGTAATGATATGGCAGAATAGTATTCAAACAAATTAAATGCCATTTCGTCTCTATTTCTGGTTATATACTCGATGTCAGGAACAGACTCAGTTAAGCGGTAGGCTATGTCAAGTAGATATGAGCGTAGATAATAGACCAACCGGCGGCGGCACGCCGACAAAAGCGTCTGCGGCGGCGGCGATTCGGCAGCACTTTTTCATAGGAAAAAATAAAATAGCGTATTTTTTATAATAATCAAATTTTTATCAGTTCATAATAATAAGCACGCGCACGCAAATTGACAAATTAATGTTTTAAACAAAACATCCTCGAATATAAAATCAGCAAGTTTTATCTTAACAAAGTCAATGTGCCTGATCGAAATGAACAGAACGCTGCGCCGATTGCATTTGTCGGCAACGGTGGCGCGCCGACGCGACGCTCGTATCTAGTATCAAAGTATATTTTATCAAGGACATTTGTCAACGATAATCATCACGTCGAACCCTGCAACGTTGCATTAAATTTACAGTAACATGGTAAACCATAGCCTGCATCATCCCCAACGGAATGATATTAGTGTTTTTGAGGGTTAATTCCGTCTTAAGATTTTTTTAAATTTCATTGGATTAACTTGTTTATTGTATTGTGTATTCCATCGTGTCCACAATTTGCATGCCGTATTTAGGCAGAATTTAGTATAAGTCTATGAGTCACTGTTTCTTTAACTCCGTATTTGTAAAATACTAATAACCTCACGGAACTTCATTACTAGTGTCATAAGCAACTAAATCTGGTAATTGACTGTTTAGAAAACATAATAAAGTTACCAAAAATAAACTTTTAAGTTTATCTTGTACTCTCTGAGAGTTTTGAAATCTGTATTTTTAGCAAAGCGTGTTGTCATTAAAAATAATTTTAGGCGTGGATACTTTCTTTTGCTACTGCACAGAGTTATCACCATTTAGACTGACAAAATTTGATGAATAATTATGTCATGGAACCAAAGTTGTTGTTCATAATATTATTAATATGGTTTTTAAAGATTCTTTGTTATTTTACTCTTAACCCTGGCCACCGAGTTAGTCGAATATATTATACTCACATCAGAGTTAGCTGGCAGACACAGTCGTGGCTGGAACTTGTGCTCCAGCAGCAGGTACTCGTTGAGCGTCGCGTACAGATGTTGAGGGTCCACGGCGTCCCCCCTCGATGTGGAGGGAACGGCGTCGCTGTCAGCATCCGGGTGCCTCGCGCCCGTTCTCAACATGATCGGGCTTATGGCGCGAGCGGCGGGTGAATCGGCACCTGCAAATTAATTACGTGTTTATGCCAATAGTGGTGCGCCTGGTGGTGGTGGTAAACGACACGCTTACCTATAACAGTAAGTCGACCACGAAATACGATACTACGTGACTGCGTCCGAAGCTCATACGTATTATTATGTCAGTTTTCAAGTTTAAGGCTGCCTCTCCACCAGAGTTATGCGACGTAGCGAAGCAGTGTGCAAGGAAAAATCCACCAATAGGATTACTTCATTTTCCAAGTATTTGTACCTATATACAAAATAGCGAGAGATGTGTGCGACTGGTGCGGGTGAGGAATGTGTGAAAAACGGTGTAGGAAACTAGAACTACTGAAAGTATGACACTAATTGACTCTGACATATCGCCACCTCTCACACCACCACATTGTACCCCGCCCGCGCATAGCTGACAAGAGTTCGTAACGCATCCTTGCACAGCTTTGGTGGAAAACATCACACCGTTTCACAGCGCCAACACATCCTCGCACCGCCTCGCTACCTCGCACATCACTGATGGAACGACAGCCTTAAGCTGTCATTTGACGTTTCACAGTAAGGACTTATGTCAAATCACGATCTTCTTACGCGTTTCGTCGTAGCCTCCGGCCCGATACGAAGCTAAAACGATGTTCGTTACCTCGTATTTCGTATTTTTCCCGCCAAGCAATAATGTTAGCATTACTGCGTTAACGTTAAGTTAACGTTAGCATAATTGTAGGCACATGGGACTTGTCAATTTACGTCTCAGGGTGACGGGCGCAGTGGCAGTGCCCTTCAGATCTTTGCGACTTAAAGTTCCGAGTAGAACTGCAACTGTTATGGACAGGCGTGTCGCTTACCATCAGGCGCACGACATGCTCGTCCCGTCACTTGATATTACAAAAAAAAAATCATGATACACCTGACCTATAACAGTTGTGGTGCCACTTGGTTTTTAAATCACAACGATCCGAGGGTTAGTGCCACTGCACCTATCACCCTGAAACCTAAAATTTACAAGTCCCACGTACCTGTAATTTCACCAGCACCCTTACCCTTTCAAATCCGGAACGCAGTAAAGCGTATGTAGTAATGTACTCTTTCGGGTATATTGGTCATTTTGCAACTTTGTTCCTTTCGTTAATATGGTTATTTTTGCACTTTGGTCGTTGGTCCCCGACAGGGTAATATTACACATTACTGCGTTTCGTTTGCGAGTACCTATAGCTACAGCTTATTGGCAGAAATAGTACTGTGGCAGTACTTCTCAAGGAGCTCTATTGCTATTAAAAACATCGTCGTATAACATCGTGTAAGATTATGGCGTTTAATATTCCTTATTTAAAAACATCTATTCTATTTTTTTACAAACAAATTACCGTTTACATTTGTGGCGATATTATCCCTGGACATTGAATTTTAAATTGTAATATTGTGACATTGATAACATGAAATAAATGATTCTATTACATTCTAAGATTACTATCGATTTGCATGAAGAATTTTGATTCCACGGTCATGTGTACAGTGAGGACGTGAACTCGCTATTCTAGTTCTTCCACGATAAGGCTTGAATTGCACGGGTTCCTCTGGAAAAGTTGTTCAATATCATGGGTCTAATTGTTCATGATCATGGGTCAAGTTGTTCAATGTATATATGAAACATTATAGTGTAGAACAAAAATAAAACTATCGAAATAAATTGTTCAAAATCATGGGTCAAATTGTAAAATACCGCAAATCAAGTTGTTCTATATCGTGAGTTATTAAGTTTAAGTTAACCAATATCATGCCTCTAGTTGTTCAATATCAAGGCTCAAGTTGTTCAATGTCATTACGCGAATTGTCCAAGGCCACGGTTCATGTTGTTCAATATCAAGAGTAGATAGAGTAACTTGAAATTGTATCAGATGTCTATTATTCGCACATGTATATAGAATATTAACAACATACAGACAGCTAAAAAACTTATAAATTGTTCACGTGAAAATTATCGTTAGAAGACTCGGAACTTACCGTTTTTGAAAGTTAAAACAAAGTTCAATATTCAATTAAATACTATTTGATGAAAATTGGTTTGTGAATAACGCGGTTATTTAGGAGGGCACAGGAGTTATTCAGGAGGAATTTAATTTCTATATATTTAATATACAATTATAATGCAACCGATATCTACGGCCTCGCAACGTATTTACTATTCTGGGTATTATTTTCCTTATAACATAACACATAAAGGACTAATAGTGAGATAATTGTTTATTAAACTTTCTGATTATTATTAAATTATTATTGTAAATATGTATTGTTTTGTTCTTGGTATTTATACTCTGTCCAACCATTTATTTAACTTTTGATATATGCATGCCTCCGAAGTTCCGTAATTATTGACATACAAACATAAACAAAAAAATGTAATAATACTTCCTGGACTCTTTTATTTTTCAATGTTAGTGGAGGGATGTGCTCTTTAGCTCCGATATTTATCGAGTTAAGGGATTATATAACGAAGATCATTCAAGTTGATAAATTTTGGTACCTGTCTAATAAACTGTAATGAAATGAAGTAAGTGTCCTTGTCCTTGTTCGAGTTGCAGTGCCACTCAGATTTGCATATGATATAGATATAAGAGTTAGCTTTCTTGACTATTGTGATATTCTCATCAGAGCTATGATTTTTTTTTTTCATAAAAAAGAAACACTTTAAATCAATCTCCTGTAATATTCTCCAAAAGCACGTTAGACGTTTTACCTTTCCAGAGTCGAACTTATGTTCAAAGTATATGTTTAAATTCAAGTTGGAAATATCTTTATTTCGTATTCTTGGTACAGTAAAATCACATGCGATCATACGTCAAAACTGCTTTTATGACACGAGTCATAAAAAAATACGAACTACGTGAAACAAATCTCTACCTAATTTCGGTGGCAATTTTACTTACTTAAATATTCGAGAATATTATCATGAAATGTTAATTAATATTTCAGGATACTACACTAAAAAAGGAAAACACATACACGCTTATTTTTTGGCAGGCTTGCGCTTCGCTCTAGTCTTCAGACCACTGGCAGAGCCTGTGGCAACCTTACCACCGCCAACAGTTTTGCCTCGTGGCACATCCAAACTGCGAATTTGATTCTCTGTAGAGATATGTTCAAGATCGTCGAGAGACGAAACTGAGTGTCGCTTACCATCAGCGGCCACCACTAGTCCAGCACTTGGAGATCCCTATTCGCGAGCCGCTACAAAAATCCTGTGTCGCCTCTTTGTTAAGAACTCGGATATTGTAATGCCGGCACCCTTCAGGCTAGTTATCAAAAACCAAATCTCATCTCGCTGAATACTACAAAATTTCACAAGGACGGGCCGAGGCTTTTGCGACGATGACTCATACGATGAGCACGACTAATGTGGTCCAGCTGTAATAGCTGGCATAGCGACCGGAGATGTTTACTAGTGATGCCAATCACTGTTTCAAGTGAATTCTCATCCTTAGCTTCCGGGATTCCGTGGAACAACAACATCTTCCGACGACTACGTATCTTCAAGTTGTCACATTTACCCGTTAACACGGACAGCTGCTTCTGGATATTGTTGAGGGAAGCCACCACAAAACTCTGGGGATGCCTAAAGTCCGCTGCAATGGAATCCACAGTAGCCGACTTCTCAGGGGACATCTTATGTAACTCCCCTTCAAATGCGGCCATCCTCGGTGAAAAAGTTTTAGCCAGAGCATCAATGGTACCTTGAATGTTGTCCATTACAGTGCTGCTTATGTGGTGAAAGTGATGTGATTGTTAACTAAAGGATTCTCACTGACTGCGAGCAGGTATTGTGCACTAAGGTATCATAGTATTATTGTACACAGTTTAAAAAAATATATAAAAAAACAAATTTTTGTATTAAATTATTACGGCACACAAATATCGCGTCAACTTCGTACGACAGCGACGCCTACCCTCCAACTCGAATATTAAATAATACTTCATGATAATATTCTATAATATTTAAATAATAGTTTCTCAAAGTGGTCTCTACCGCCCCCGGTGAACGCTGAAGAGACCGAGTGGGGAGGCGGTAGGGGGCCCAATTCTTCGACGTTAATGCTGTCCAGGGGTTTCTATCACATTTGAAAAAAAAAACTGTACATAAACTACACTACATTTCTTTCCCCTTTAGGTTTTTTGTGTTAGTTAATATAAAAATACGCCTTTTGAATATTTTTTGGGCGTCGATATTTTTTTATCTTGCATATGTGGGTCAAAAAGTTTGGAAACCTACGATAAAAATTGCCAACGCAATTAGACGGAGAAAACTTGAAAATTACCCATCTATCCTGTAATTTAAGCATAAAAAAGTTACTAGTCGCGTAACTTTTTTATCGTTCGTTCGTGAATTTCGTTCGTAGAATTTTCAAACTCGTCGCCTGAAAAGTTGTAATTTTGCAGGTGTGGTTTAAAGGATTATTATATATGTAGATCTTTTTAGTTGTTACAATAATTGTTTCTGCGATGTAAAAGGTCCCATAATTACCGCTAAAATTGGGTCATATTTTAAAACATCAACTCACCAAAGCGTGCGCAGGAGCAGTTCAGCGGCTCTTCAGTCGTTGTATGTGCCCGCGCCGATCCCCCCTCGGCTCGTCGACCCGTCGTGTGCGACCGGGCGCTGAGGCCCTAGTACCTGACCACAAAGAGCGCTTTGCTCAACAATCTGCAGCGTGGCTGCTGAGCGTTGAGAAGGTAATACGAGATGATAAAGGGGTATGGTATTGGATTGCAAAGAAGATAGAAGAGGGTAATTATTCTTAAGGAAGTACTAGGAGATCAGAAATCTTAAGGCAATTCTTTGGTTTTGTTTTTGTTATGGGATATCGACCCAGCAACACGGGAAGGTTTCCAAGGAGGGTTTATTCAGGATACAGCTCAGTAAGGTTACCGGATGCAATGTCTTGTTGAAAGACGATTGTCCAGCCTCCTTAGCGCTCTTCAACGAGTCAGATACGTACAGAAGCGGTTGAACACCTCTGTAGGGCAGTACACTACGCTCGGTTGAGCCAAGTCGTAGCGACCAAGTGTCTACGATCAGGTGTACCGAATCGTAGCAACCAAGTCTCTACGCTCGGGAGAACCAAGTCGTAGTAACCAAATAGCTAAAAAGGCCACGGTCTTTCCCTCTGACCCCTAGTACACACCGGGTGTTTTTGGCACCCTTTATACTACTTTTAGGTGGACCGTCGAAGGTCCCTCGCTGCAAGCGAGACGGGTCTCTTCTTAGGGAATATTTGATAATATAGAATGATTGTATGAAATACCTGTAAAATTATTACAATGAACATGGGTATATAATGAAAATGGTGTGCGGAAATTAAGTTTCAATAATAATTGAACGAACCAGTGTTTTCTTGCAATACGGAATCTGCCTCCAGTCATAAGTCTAGTCGGTTACAGTTAAAACCATATTAAGTTTGACACTTTGTACTTTCTTAAATCGGATCGAAATCGAACGATAGCCTATGAATGGCGCACGGAAAAAAGCCGTGTCGAATGTGTATATACACGGAAGAAAAAAAACAATGGTAGTGCCTTGTGCCTTGATTACTATGAGAACCGATGTCGCCAAAACTCACAAATTTAACTGCCTCCGTGGCCGAACGGTTACCATGCCGGACTGCCACGCAGAGGCCCCAGGTTCGATTCCCGGGCCGGGAGAAATATTTGCATGGCCTACATTTATTTCTCTCGTGAGTTTGGGTGTAATTTGTGGTTGTCTATGTGTGTGCCCATGACACCCGCGACACAGGGTTTCCCTAGTGCGGGGCTATGTTGAGTGTGTGCGTTATTATTATTATTATTCTTAGTTTGAAACACTACGAAATCTTGATATTGATTGGTCGTAGTTTCAAATTTAAAAACAAAAACAAATTCTGGACTGCTAATATACATAATTTAAACTTTACCCTGTTGGTGTTGTTGGTTGGTTGAAAATTCATTACCATCAATACCTATTATACGAGTTACGACGTTTTAATATTATATTGAAATTTCAATCAATGTGCTGCCATATTTTTCGTTCATTTTCATTTCATTGCTGAATGACGACGAATTGGAGTCATTAATTTAGTTCTCCAAAAAAGAAGCGACCATATTGCAGGGGTATAAGCTTTACTTTCGTTTTTTGTAACAAAAAAAAATATTTCGATAAAACAGAAAATTTAAAATTTAAGACTTTCCGATGACATGAAATATCACTACGGGTAATGTTTTTGGTGCAGCTATCATTTTTGCACTCCAAAACAGCACAATAAGGCATTTTTCAATGATTTTAGAGAATTTGCACAAAAGAACGACACAACCATACCATAGAAAGCGGAAATGGAAAATGAGGTCAGATAGGTCTTACGAGACCTATAGTTGGCACGCGTCAGACGCTAACTAACCACAACTAGTGTATTTATTGTTCTGTGCGTATATACGTTCCTTGGCCCACGTTTACGTTAGCGAGTGGCAAATAAATAAAATTTGCAACCTTCGTCTGAAAACAAGGTCATTTCAGTTGTGTTACTAAACCATCGGTAACAAAGAATAAATTTGGTTAACAATTGTATAAACATGCAATTCAAAAGCAGTTTAAGTACCGTAAAAACAAAAATTGCAAAATTTCAATAATAAACCAATACAAAAAACAGACACCGAGGTAAATACGTAATATCTAGGTTTATCTTAAAAACAACCGTTTCAATTTACTTATTATCATTATCACAAACTACGCATTTTGGTGTCAAATAGCGTGATGTTTATTGTATGCAAAATTAAACTTTATTACATACGCCGCAGAGAAACCAGACAAACTAGATATGTACGCGGATTAACGTAGGTACTTTATCTGCGCTGTCTACAATCAACAACGGATGTTTACGAAACCATGGACCAATGCCTAAAGAGGACTGCTAATAATAGTATGGATACTACAGATCGTAACTTTATATAATAATATAATTGTAACCTTTTCATTGAAAAAAAAAACCGACTTCAAAAGTTTGCTTATCGTCTTTTTTCGATTTCCATGGAATCAAAAAATTCTAACTTCTTGATGACAACGGGACTATTACGGACTCCTTTGCACATTTTATATTTTCTTTTCCGGTTGTGACGGTGACGGTGATTGATTGATTGTTGATTACATATTGTATTGTGTCAAATGGAAAGTCGACATTTATTTGCGGAAAATAATTAGTAATCTGTGATGGTGGAAACGAACCCGGAACAGCATCAGGGACCACCTCGAGACCCTTTCAAACAAAAGAAGAATTTTCAAAATCGGTGCACAACTGATGGAGAAATTGGTGAATACACGGACATGTCTATAAAATTTGAGGATTTCCTTCGATTTTCATGGGATCCCCTCATCAGATTCTGACCTGGTGACAATGGGAACATCAAGAGAGTGCATCCTTTCAAACAAAAAAAAAAGAATTTTCAAAATCGGTCCACAATTGACGGAGATATCTGAAAACATACATACAGCCGAACGTATAACCTCCTCCCTTTTTTTGAAGATTCCGTTTTATATCAAGATGGCGCTGATCAACAACCTGGAAGTAGTATATATTATGTAAATGGCCGTGGATATCAATTCATTTCACATTAGGTCTCAAAAGACCTACTTGAGCTCGGTCCGTTATTTTTACTTTGTATGGTATGGTTTTGCCATACTTTCGTGCAAATTCTCAAAAATCCTAGAAAAATGCCTTATTATGCTGTTTTAGAGTGCAAAAATGATGGCCGCACCAAAAATATTATATATAGCCATAGTAGTATTTCATATCATCGGTATGTCTTATTTTCTGTTTATTGAATTGATTCAGATGTTAATCCGTGGTACTCCAGCTACTGGCCGCAAGATGGCAGCACGTTGAATAAAATTTCAATATAAAATCAAAACGTCGTAACTTGCAATGAACGTATTGAACTTTTCAACGCTATTGCGCCTGGCACAAGTGCAAATTGTATTAACAATTCAGAATTTGTTACGTCTTTTTAAATTAAAAACTATGACCAATCCGTCAAGATTTCGTAGTGTTTAGCATTTGTTTGTGTGCGTTTTGGCGACAGCGGTTCCGACATCGAGTAATTAACTCATTTATTTTGTTTGAAAACTATTCTGCCATATAATTACTGTGACAACTGCGCTCCGATTGGCCAGCCCGAATGCGAAACAATTGACGGGTGTCGTCAATTATTTCGCTTCAAATCGACCAGTGAACTTGCGCTTTGCTATACTGGACGAAAATTGCAAAATTACATATTTAAATTACCGATGAAATTTGATTCCGTTTGTTTTGTAATTAGATGTTGTGGTGTTTTTCCCCATACCACCGAATGGAACAGCACGCCATTATTAGAGATATTATCTTTATTACAATAAATACACAATATTTTTGGAATATATTGAGACGTACGCACAGGTCGGTTGTTGGCGCCGTCTATATTTCAGTGCAAACGATAGTTGATATTCATAAGTTATGTATCACTGATGAGTTACCAGGAATGATGGCCCTTATTTCGTCTCTATTTCTGGTTATATACTCGATGGGTTCCGATAGTAATCGAGGCTAAAGGCATTCCATTGTCTTTTTCTTCCTTGGTACCTACTAATGATCATATTACTGCTTGGCGGCAGAAATAGGTCAGATGGCACAACTTCCTGGACGAACTCTACAGCCATGAAACTAACATTTAAAGGACGTTAGCGTATAAACTTTATGTAATAACAAACACGTAAGCAATTGTTTGCGTAATACATAAATTATTATTTATTCATATGATGTTATTACAATTAAATTTATGTGAACTGTCTCGTAAACAATGTGTTAAGTCATCGTTAAACACTGTTCATATGTCGCCAAACAATACTCGATTAATTTCTTTATTTTAAATAATAGAAAAAATTTAGTTTAATAATCTCAGAACATGGTACTAAAAAACCGACCTCAAAAGTCATTCATCCCATAGTTTGCCACCCTTAGAGGTGGAATATTTTCTTGAAATTTAAATGTGTAAAAAACCACAACTGAGGTTCCTTCTTTCCAACAAAAAAAAAAAATTAAAATTGGTTCACAAATGGCGAAGTAACATATGGCGCGTAACATACATACAAAAAACAAACATACAGACGAATTGAGCACCTCCTCCTTTTTTCAAGTCGGTTAAAAATAAAACGTCGTCTTTAATTCAAATTTCTCAACAATAAGAATTTTAATTATAACATTTAAATTTATTATGAAAAGGTACAACAAATTCTATATAACAGTTCGCAAAAGTGATACATTTATAACCATATTTTTTCGCGTATGATACAATATACAATGTAGTATGCAAAATACAACCTGATCGTGACTGCAACCTAACAATTCGGCACCTAACAGGTCGGCACAACATGTATTTTTCTTCCACTTTCCCCTATCAGCAGTAATTTCCATACTCACATCTTTCTTATTAATATCATTTTACACACCATCCATCCCGTCTTTTCTATGGCCATCTTTTCCCCTTATATTCCTCCATAAATTCTCTGTACTACGCTGCACTTATCATAAACTAAAACAATCGAAATTTTCAACGAAAACTCCTTCGATCCGGCCGGATTCGAACCGACAACGTCTTTTAGCATTCCGTGACAGA